CCCCAAAACCCCAAAACCCCAAAACCCCAAAACCCCATAGGAAAAACATCTAATTGAATAATAATAAATAATTTTAGAATATTAAAATGATTAAGAAACAGCTTAGACAGAAAGGTTATAGGAGGGCGTGATTGGCAAAGACCCTCTTGGTTATGGTAGTGCTTGGGCTCGTAGAAGGATTTCATTATGAGTACAAGTTTATAGCGGTTAGGTAAAGTGTTTGGGAAGAAAGTGACGTATTATGTTTAGGCCAGACCAGAGTGAGATATATGAGCAAGGAGGAGATCCAGCTGCTCCTCATTTTTATTCTGATGGTAAGAGTAGAATGAGATTATAGGCAATAATGATCCAACACCTATCCCGCAGGGATTATAATTTTTGAAGCCGATCAGTAAGCTTACTTTTAATCATTAGTTATTTGAACTTATCACAGCCGTTCAGCGTGTCTACAAGTTCTTTCTCATTAGAGATTTGGTACTACATGTTCAGTATTGATGAGATCTTTTTGTCCACAGGAAGTCTTTACGTAATTCTCTTTGCCAACTTTAGGATACCTCCACTAGCACTTCTACAAGACTAATCATAAGAACTATCTCCACTGATAACAGAGGTAATCTAGTTTTCCTTGCTTTGAAAGTTTACCAACTCTAACCTCTGTAGTTCGGGTGGCTCATTTGCTCTCCAAAAATGAAATTCCAGGAATAGCGAGTAAGTAAACGTTTGATAACAGGATAAAGATAAGGTTTACGTTCTTTAGCATATAATTTCATTGGATATTTTCGGTAAATAAACCAAGAAAAGTTCACAACTCTTAAGTTTGTTGAAGAATATAGTTTTAAGCCGAATTATTTCTTTCAGGATGTCAGACCAGGTTAGGAAATTTAGATGATAGAGCATTAATTTCATTAGGGAAAGCTCTTAATTTGCTTATTGAGATATTAGTATTAGTGCAAAGTATCTTCTCAATATATTCTTACAATTTGAAAGAAATGATAAATTAGCCAAATTATTGGAAATTTTTTGCTAAAATAGAATGTTGAGCTTTATTATACAAGTTTTGAAAAAGGTATATTTTTTATCAAGAACTACACGATATGATATTTCTGTAGAGTCGGGTGGAACAGAGTAGGAACAGGCCAAACTTCAACAACCATGAACTCATTTCTTCAGAATAATATTAATGGTACCTCTTATGACTCTGGAAAAACTTCATTTTGTGTCGAACCTTTCACATTTAACTCTATTGGCTGAATGAGGTGAAATGTCCCAGTAGTTATAATTAGTTCGTTCATTGTCAGGTAAATTTGAAGGTGATTTTGTAGGGACGATGCCTCTCTTGGACACCCAAATTCGGGATTCGCGTTTAGTTTTGGTAAGTTAGGGATTGATTTTAGTGATGAATACTTGTGGAGATGGGGTTGTTCTGAGTGCAAATTTTGAGCAATGAGATGATGGGAATACGGATGATACTGATTCTTGTACATCAGGGTGCTTGTTTCCAGATTCTAACTGAATTACAAACCCAGTAGAGTGATCAGCAAGTATTTGAGGGGATGGAATAAAAGGCCAAAATGAAGATTGAGACGATGCAAATTTGGATCATGGAGATGGTTGCTCTGATCAATGTGTTATTGAATCTGGTTACTCGTGAACAGTTCATGAATCTGCATCTAAGTGAGTACAGATTATGTGAGAAGTGACTGATTGAAAGGTTTGTAGTGAGAGTGATGGTGATGTGTGAATACAATGAGATACATTCTTCAAACTATCGGAAAATAGAGGGATATGTGAATCTGAAATAGAATACGAGGTGTCAGCCTCAACCAAACAAATGTCCTCTAGCTCAACAGCTGCCTCAGGAATCGGTGCTGGAGCTGTCATTGGTGTATCCTTACTCAATCTGTCATCGTTAGCTGCCATCTGGTCTCTTGTCAACCAATACCAGCTGTTCATTTTACTGTTGTTGACTCAGACACCGTTTCCTGGTGACGTCAAAGGCATGATACTCGGAAACAGTCTCATGACTTTCAACATTACACAGTACATGCCTGTGAGACACATTCCGAAGATGGACTCACTGATGGAACATGTTGGCTTCGAACAACAGAACATTCACTTGAAAACAGTCGGAGTCAACACTGGAAGTGCAATTAGCAACAACATTGGGTTCTTGTTGACACTTGCATTGTTCGTGTGTTTGCATCCTTTGGTGCTGCTTTTGAAGTGCTGCATTAATTATGAGAATGACAACAAGTGAAGCTTCAACTATCTGATGATTCTGACTGTCGACTTGTTCACATTTACGATTTATGTGCGAGTGTGTATGGAGTCGTTCCAGCTCTTGCTGCTCACAAGCATTTCTGAGCTGCTGCAAGCAAACTTCGGAGGAGCCGCGCCTGTTATATCGTTTACAAGCTCTTTATTGATTCTGGGAGTATGAGTAGGGCTGATGACTCTGGCACTATACATGTTCTGGATAACAAAGGACTTCTATGACCCAGATCGTTACTACAAACTGGGCGAGTTCTTTTCAGGAGTCAGACTGAACAAGTATGCAAGACTTTACTCATTTCTCAGATGCTTCAGAAAATTGTTTATAATTTTATGGCTTCTTATTTGAAGTTTCCTCGATTCTTGGATTCTATGAGTAGGCTTTCTGGTCCTCCAACTATCTTACTTTATTATTATCATACTCTTGAAACCTTTTGACCGCGTAGAAAATAATATCATTGAAATGATTAATGAAGTCATATTTACATTATTAATTGGAATTTGCATTATTTTTGATCAAGATCAAGAGTGGACAAGCCTCCCAACAAACCTATTCAATTACACTATCCTATCCAATTCAATCATCATCACTCTTGTCATGATCGGTGAGTAACAATCTTCAAACTATAGGAGCCTTAATATTCACAATTTGCAAAAAATGCACAAAAGGATCCTCCAAAGCATCAAAAATCCGTCCAGAAGTGCTCAAAAAAGTAATTCTCCCTCTAAACACAGGACACAAACTTCACAAAATACACAAACAACGAATCAGAACTTTCCAACATAAGACTCCAAAACTCAACCCACCTAAAAGGAGTTCCCCAAAACACCCCCATCTCCTCTCTACCCAAGAATCCACCCCACAGCCCTCGTGAAGAGATGAAGTTTTAGCTACCCTAAAATATCTGCCTGTGTGTATTTTAATGAGAAAAGTTAAATTTTAATGTTTTTGAGGAATATGTGACTTTGGGGTTTTGGGGTTTTGGGGTTTTGGGGTTTTGGGG